GTCTAGCCGCTTGGACAAATAAGCCACAGGTCTCTTCCACGGGCCCAGCTGCTGAGCCAGAACTCCTTTAGCCACTCCCTTCTTTTCATCTACAAACAGGATAAAGGGTTTTTCTGGGTCTGGCAGAGATAGGGCGGGGGCCCGGAGGAGAGCTTCTTTTAGTCTGTCAAACGCCTCTTGTTGTTCCTGCATCCATTGCCAGCCCGGCCCTTCTTTGGTTGCTTCATATAGTGGTCGGGCTATTTCTGCGTACCCTGGAATCCAGAGCCTGCAAAACCCGGCTGAGCCAAGAAATTCTCTCACTCCCCGGGGTGAGGAAGGGATGGGGATAGCCAGGACAGTTTGCTTCATGGCCTGTGTTAGCCACCTGGCCCCATTAGATATTGTGTACCCCAAGTAGACTACTGACCTCTGACAGATGTGGGCTTTCTTGGCGCTGGCTCGATATCCCAGTTCACCTAGTTCAGCCAGCAAGTTCCCCGTGGCTTCTTCGCACTCTTCACGGGTTTCTGTGGCCAGCAACAGGTCATCTACATACTGCAACAACGTCACGTGGGGGTGGCTCCTGCGAAAGGGCTCCAAGTCCTGGCTTAGGGCTTCATTGAATAAGGTGGGAGAGTTCTTGAAGCCCTGAGGCAGTCTAGTCCAGGTAAGCTGCCCTTTTCTTCCTCCCCCTGGCTCTTGCCACTCAAAGGCAAACAAAGGCTGACTAACTTCAGAGAGTGGAATACTAAAGAAGGCATCTTTCAGGTCCAGAGTAGTATACCACACATGCGTGGGTGGCAGGTGGCTGAGTAAGGTGTAAGGGTTAGGCACTGTAGGATGGATGTCTTCTACCCTCTCATTGACTTTCCGCAAGTCTTGCACTGGCCTATAATCTTTACTGCCAGGCTTCCTCACTGGAAGCAGAGGCGTATTCCATGCAGATTGGCAGGTCTTAAGGATTCCTGTCTCTAACAGTCTATGGATATGGGGTGCTATCCCTTTCCTAGCCTCTTCTGGCATTGGATATTGCCGGACCCGGATGGGTAGAGCTGCGGCTTTGAGTTGAACAACAACCGGGGATAGGTGTTTAGCGAGACCAATTCCTCCGGTCTCGGCCCATGCGGAAGGGAACTTCTGTACCCAAGAGTCTATCTCTCCCTGGCCCCCCTTTTCTTGATCCGCCTGAAACAGACGATGTTCATCGGCCAGGGAAAGAGTTAACACATGCGCCGGTTGTAGGGGCTGCCCTTCTTTGTCCATGATTTTTATCCCTTCAGGTTCAAAATGAATGCGAGCCCCGACCTTGGTTAATAAGTCTCTGCCCAGCAACGGTGCGGGGCTTTCGGGTACGACCAGGAATGAGTGAGAGACCTGATGCCTTCCTAGGTCCACTTTTCTGTTAGTAGTCCAGGCACATTTCCTGGACCCTGTCGCTCCCTGGACTATACTTGTGCGTCCTGGGTTTAGGGGGCCGTGGGCCTGGTTGAGAACTGAATACTGTGCCCCAGTATCTACCATAAACCCAATGGGAGTCCCCTCCACGCACAGGGTTACCCAGGACTCGGGGAGGGGTGCCGAGCCCCGTCTCCGTCAATCCTCCTCTCCTAGGTGCAGGGTCTTAACAGGGTTCCCTCTCCCTTGTTCCCTCCTTTGGGGGCACTCCCTCTTCCAATGTCCATATTTCTTACACAGGGCGCACTGATCTTGTCCTAGTCGGGATTGACGGGGTCCTGTTCCTTGAGGTGGCCTAGGGCCTTCCTTCACTCCGGCCAGGAATATCCTGGCCATCTCTTCCCTCTGCTTCTTGTTCTCCCTTTTCTGAAATTCCCTGTCTTCCTTCCTATTTTTCTCCTGCATTACCCATTTCTCTTTCCTCAGCCTTTCTTCTCTATCTTCCGGAGTTTCTCTAGCATTGAAGACCTTCTCTGCCTGCTGCAGCAGCTCTCTAATAGAGATCTCCCCTAGGTCCTCCCGCTTGTGGAGTTTTCTCCGGATATCGGGGGCTGCCTGGTTGATGAATGAGAGGACTACAGCTGACCTATGTTCCTCTGCTTCCGGGTTTATGGGGGTATACTGCCGGTAAGCATCAAACAGCCTTTCCAGATACGCGGCTGGGCTTTCCATTTCCCCCTGAACAATAGTTTTTACCTTAGCCAAGTTAGTGGGCCGTCTGGCGGCCGCCCGGAGACCGGTCATCAGAGTCTGGCGGTAGACCCGGAGACGCTCCCTACCTTCTGCAGTTCCGAAGTCCCAATCTGGGCGCGTAAGTGGGAACGCCTCGTCGATGATGGGCTGGAGGGTAGTGGGTCTTCCATTTTCTCCGAGGACATTTTTCCTGGCTTCATTGAGGATACGCTCTCGTTCTTCAGTTGTGAAGAGAGTGCGGAGTAATTGCTGGCAGTCGTCCCATGTGGGACGATGGGTAAACATAATGGACTCCACTAAACCTATAAGACACTTGGGGTCCTCTGAGAAGGGAGGATTCTGAGTCCTCCAATTATAAAGGTCACTAGATGAAAAGGGCCAATATTGATATTGCTGAGCAATGCCGGTACCGATGGCACGCACAGGCAGAACTGGCACTGCTCCTTCTGAGGTGGAGGAGGGAGCCTCCCCTTCTTGTTCCCTGGCCCCTCGAGACCTTAGCTGCATTCCTCCAGTTCTACCTGGCGCCCAGCGTGGGGCCAGGGCGGGGGAGTGTGAGGAAGCTCTTTCCGGCCTCCCGCCTCCCTCTGCTGAAGAATCTGGGGAAGCTGCAGCCGCCTGGTTCCCGCTGGGTTCCCTAGCCGCATTTTCTATCCCCCCGGCAGCTTCACCCCTCTCCTCTGCATACGGGGGTGGCTGCTCAATCGGCGGGAGGGGGTAAAGAGGAGAACTGTCGGGGAGGACAGGCGGCGCACTTGGGCGCACAGGATTTCTGGCCCTGCGATCAGAGGGCTTTGATTTTTCCTGGGCAACTAGGACGGAGGTCTTTTGTGGGTCAGTATGAGGTTTCTCCACCAAAAAGGGCTCCAACCAGGAAGGGGGATTCTCGGCCAAATTTTCCCAGACAAGAATATAGGGAAGTTGGTCAGGGTGGCCCTCAGGACCTGGCCGGGAGATAATGGCTTTGATCTTGCCAATAAGGTCCAAAGAAAGAGACCCCTGGGCCGGCCAGCCTACTCCGAAGGAAGGCCACTCGACTGAGCAAAAGGTGTCGAGCTTACCCTTCTTGATGCCAAGGCTCATACTTAAGGCCTGTTCCTTGACCTTGGGGAAATGGGAGAGGATCAGACTCTTAGGAGTAGCCTGAGTCTGACCCATGGTGAGAAAGAAGAAGGAAAAAGAATATGAGGGAGACAAAGGCGAAGGATGAAGATGCCACTTCAAACAAAATGACTGTTGTATGTGCTTATGAACGAGTGCCTGTCGTTGCACAGTTTTTCTTCCGCGGGGGACGCGAATTTATCTGGGATTCGCGGCTGTGACCCCCTTATCCTGTCACGGGAGTCTTCTAGCGGCGGGCGCCCTAATGGCTCTTAATTGCCCGACCCGTGCCCGCGGGGAATGATGTAGTGGCAGAAAGGAGGAACGGAGAGAGCAGGAGAACCTTAGAACAAGGAAACTTAAAATGAGAAGTGCAAAAAGAAATATAAACCAAAACCAAAACACAGTAAAACAATCAATGATAACACCAAACATACACACCACATCTGATCGCACTCGTTCGGACCGGTCCTTCTCTCACTCTGGTGCGCACCACACTCACCACTTTCAGGGTCCTCAAAAACTCTCGTAATTCTCCCGAAGGGCGTCCACTCGGACTGCCGCAGGGTGACGAGCTCGATCTTTTCCTCCTCGGGTGCCAGTTTTCTGCCGATCGGATTTGCCTTCCTAAGGCCGAGTCACTCGGACCCTAGGGCCAGGATTGGTTACCTGGACTTTTACCCAGGGTCACTAACCTGGGGGCCGGGACTACCAGCCCGGACTTCCTCACTCGGGACCACTAACCCGAGACCATACACGGGATGGCGACTCCCGCTTTATAATGGATTTATGCAGACACGAGGGGGCGACCCTCGAATTACACTGCCCCGTCCGGACAATTAGACCTTGCCTCCAGCTGTCCTTTGTTCTCAGGGAAGCCGCTCGAATCCCGGACGAGCCCCCAAATGTTAGGGTGCAGGCTTCCGAGGCTTCCCCAGAGAACAAACTACACAGGCATAGAGATGTAAATTCAAGCAAAGTCTTTATTCAGCCAACTAGTTGGGGTCCAAGTCAGCCCCGACGCAGCGGGTCTCAACAAGGACCCCGAGCACTCTGAGCCAAGGGTTTATATAGCAATTTCAAAGCACTTAACTCATAGCAATTTTCTATAACTATACATTATTCTTGCAAGACATATATCCTGGGGTTAAGCAAGGGCAGGGTAAGACTACTCCTCAATGGTTAGGGAGGTTCTGCACGATAAGCTTGGTATGTAAGATTTACTGACCAAGGTTAGCTGACCAAGGGTCACAGCTGCCCACCACCCGGTGCTCATGATTAACTTGTTTTTCAAGGCCTTACCCAGGCCCAGGGTTTGTTTTTTTTTTTTTTTTTCTCTGAGTCACACTCTCAGAAAATGGTTTCTAGGTTTCTAAGATGGCTATGCTTATGCTAATTTACTAATCTTACTAATGCTTAGATTCTACATTTCCCCACTTTCTTTTGACCATTCCAATCATAGAATGTTTGTTTCTTCCTGCTGTGTGAGTGAATGATACTGCGGTCTCAGCATTAGTACCTGAACAGCACTCACTCTTTCCCTAACAAAAGCTATTAGCCGGTTTAAGATACAGGGACCTAAAGTGAGAAGCAGTATAAAAATAAGCAAGGGCCCTGCCAGGGTTGATATCAGGGTTGTAAACCATGGGAATTTAGTAAACCAGGATTCAAATAGCCCTTGGCTGGCCTCTCGCTCTCTCTTCCTTTGATCTAGCCTCTCTCTAAGTTTAGACATTGAATCTCTTACTATTCCGGAACGGTCTGCTGTTAAAGTTTAGCTAAGTTTTATTAGTTCTTTTTCCTGACTCTTGATGCTCTCTGCACTCCTTTACAATCAGAAACCATGGAATGCAGAAAACAGTGGGATGGCATATTCAAAGTATCAAAGAAAAATAAATCATCCACCAAGAATTCTGTATCTAACAAAACTATCCTCCAAAAATGAAGAAATGAAGACTCCCCAGGTAAACAGAAGCTGAGGGAGGTCATTGCTGCTAGACCTGCTATTTCACAAGAAATGCTTATGGAAGCCCTTCAGGCTGAAATGAAAGGCCTCTTGACAGTGACTCAAAACCATATGACTAAATAAAAATGATCAGAAAAGATACATGTAAAATTAAGTATTGTCATATTTTTAATTTTTATCTATTTTTTCTATATGATCTGAGATACAAATGCATAAAACAGTGGTAGGAGCCATGCTACTCAGGCTGTTTGACAAAGTCCAGGCACAAGAAGGATAATTGTAAATGTGAAAATGGCTGCTTTGTGGTCAAAAAATAAACCACACTCTGTCTAGCACCTTTCATGCACTGTTTTATGGCATCTGCTTTGCATAAGAATTAGTCATGATAAGGAAGAAATAAAACATGAAAAGCTGCATGTAGCAGGAAATGATGATATCTGCCCGTAATTAAAGGTAGTGAGCAGGAATAAGTTAGAAACAGAAAGGAAAAAAGATTGTAACCTCACTGATCAAAGAACAAATGTCTGGAATGGATATCATATAAATAAAACACTGCTAGCATGCTTGCTAGGAGATGCTTCCAGTCTGACTCTGTGTCTTGTCTCCTCACTCGCCAATGCCATCCTTTCCTTCGGGCAGCCCACCCCTCGCGGGAGCTTGACTCCTGAAAAACAGTAATTGAAAATTTATGTCAATGGGTACACCATGTGTAGAGATGAAATCTGTGTCAATAACAAAGGGAGAGAGTTTTGTAAACTATTAAAGCTATGCTGACATTCACTCAAATTAGCTTGTTATAAGATGTCGACTGAAAACAAGTTGTAGACACCTAAGAAAATAACAAAAATATGCAAAAAGGTTTTTAAAAAGAAGGGAGTAAAATAGTATACTACAAAAAGTCAAACACAAAAGGAAGCAGTAATGAATTGATGAAAAACATGATATACAGAATATAATGCATGTAAGTCCTTCCATATCAGTAATAACCATAAATGTAAATGGAGTAAACATGCCAATCAAAGGACTGAATTTGGCAGAATGAATAAACATGGTCCAAAATATTCTATCTACAAGAGACTTGTTTTATATCCAAAGACACAAATGGGTTGAAAGTGAGTGAATGGAAAAAGATATCCCCATGCAGAGTAATCAAAAGAGAGCTGCAGTGGCTATGAAATAAGGAAAAGGCAGTATAAATTGATAACACTGTAAATATATCAAGAAGATATAACAATTATAAACATATATGCATCAAACAACAGAATCCCAAAATATGTGAAATAAAAATTAAATGAATTCAAGAGAGAAAAAAAGTGTTGCACAATGATAGAGTTCAAAACCCCATTTTTAAAAATGGATAGAATGAAATATCGGTTAAGAAATAGAGAACTGGACCAATGAAGAACAGACATCTACAAATCACTCCAACAACAGAATATACGTTCTTCTCAAGTGCATTTGTAACATTCTCCAGGACAGACCATATGTTAACCCACAAAACACGTCTCAATATTTTAAAAGATTGAAACAATACAAATTATTCTCTCCAACCACAATGGATGAAACAAAGTTAATAATGGTAAGATATATGGAAAATTCACAAATATATTGAAATTAAACAAGACAATCAGTGGGTCAAAGATGATTTTACAAGAGAAATTAGAAATACTGAGACAATAAAAGTAAAAACATAATATACCGTGACTTCTGGGAAGCAACACAGGAAATTTATAGGTATAAATGCCTACATTAAAAAAGAAGGTGCTGTTTCTGCTCTCCACCCTTCCTAAGAGTGTAATTATACTTTGCTTAATAAGCTCCTGCTGTTTAAAACTGAAAATAAAAGAAGAAATATCCAAAATCAATAACCTAACTATACACCAAGAACTAGAAAAAGAGCAGACTAAAGTCAAAGATAGCAGAAGGGAATAATAAACATTAGAGCAAATATAATGAAATAAATAATTGAAAAACAGTACAGAGAATCAATGAAATCAAAAGGTGATCCTTTGAAAAAAATCAACAAAATTGGCAAACCTTTAGCTAAACTGAGTAAGAAAAAAAGAAAAATTCAAATTACTAAAATCGGAATTGAAAATAGGGACATTGCTACCAACCTTACAGAAATAAATCAGATTATAAGAAAATTATATAACAATAAAATAACCTTGATGAAATGGTCAAAAAAAAGAGACAAACTTCTAATTATAAAATAAGTCATGGGAATAAAAAATACAGCATAGAGAATATAGTTGATAACATTGCAATATCTATGTATGGTGACAGATGGTAACTATACTTTTCATGATGAGCATTTAGTAATGTACATAATTGTTGAATCACTACATTGTAGTCCTGAAATCAATATAATATTGTATGCCAACTATACTTTAATTTAAAAAATTAGCTAGGGAAGTGCAGGACCTCTACACTAAAAACTACAAAACATTGCTGAGAGAAATTAAAGAGCACCTAAGTAAATGGAAAGACATCTCATGTTCATGGTGTGGAAGACTTCATATTGTTAAGATGACAGTACTCCCCAAATCAATCCACAGATTCAATGCAATTCCTGTCAAAACCCCAATGGCCTTTTTTTGCAGAAATGGAAAAAATTGATCCTCAAATTTATATAGAGTTTCAAGGGGCTCTCAATAGCCAAATCAATCTTGAAAATGTACAAAGTTGGAGGACTCACCTTATGATTTCAAAATGTATTACAGTATCAAAATATTGTGGTACTGACATAAGGGCAGACCTATTTCAATGGAATCAAGTTGAGAGTTTAAAAATAAACCCAATCATCCATGGTCAATTGGTTTTTGACAAGGGTGACAAGGCCATTCAATGGGGAAATAGTCTCTTCAGCAATTGGTGCTGGGAAAAATGGGTTTCTGCATGCAAAAAGAACTGAAATTGGATGCCTACCTCACACCATATTAAAAAAAAATAAATCAAGGGAACCCTCCTACACTGCTGGTGGGAATATAAGCTAGTTCAAACTGTGGAAAGCAATATGGAGGTTCCTCAAAAAACTCAAAATAGAAATACCATTTGACCTGGGAATCCCACTCTTTGGAATTTACCCAAAGAATACAACTTCTCAGATTCAAAAAGACATATGCACCCCGTGTTTATCACAGCACTTTTTACAATAACCAAGATACGGAAGCAACCTAAGTGTCCATCAGTAGATGAATGGATAAAGAAGATGTGGTACATATACACAATGGAATACTATTCAGCCCGAAGAAAGAAACAAATCCTACCATTTGCAACAACACGGATGGAGGTGAAGGATATTATGCTCAGTGAAATAAGCCAGGCGGAGAAAGACAAGTGCCAAATGATTTCCCTCATTTGTGGAGTATAACAACGAAGCAAAACTGAAGGAACAAAATAGCAGCAGATCAGACTCCAAGAAGGAACTGGTGGTTACCAAAGGGGAGGGATGTGGGAGGGTGGGTGGGAAGGGAGGGAGAAGGGGATTGAGGGGTATTATGTTTAGTACACATGGTGTGGGGGGTCACAGGGAAAACAGTGTAGCACAGAGAAGGCAAACAGTGACTCTGTGGCATCTTACTACATTGATGGACAGTGACTGCATTGGGGTATGGGTGGGGACTTGATAATATGGGTAAATGTAGTAACTACATTGTTTTATCATGTGAAACCTTCATAAGAGTATATATCAATAATGCCTTAATAATAAATAAATAAATAGATAGATAGATAAATAAATAAACAAATCAGAAAGGATTAATGACCTAAATATGCTAAAAAATTTTGAATCATAAAACTCTTAGAAGAACACTGGGGTAAATCTTCATGATCTAGGAATTGTCAATGGTTTTTTATATACCAAAAAGCACAAGCAACAAAAGAAAAAACAAATTTCACTTCGTCAAAATTAAAGGCTTTGTGCACCCAAGGATACTATTAAAAGAGTTAAAAGTCAACACATAAAATGGGAGAAAATATTTGCAAGTCATTATCTGGTAAGGAGCTAGTGTCCAGAATATGTAAAGAACTGAAATCTCAACAAAAGACAAGCAACCCAATTCAAAAACAGGCAAATAACTTGAATAGACATAGCTCCAAAGAAGATACATGAATATGACTGAAAAACACATGAAAAGATACTCAGTGTCATTAGTTGTTATGGACTGAATTGTGTCAACCCCACTAATTCATGTATTAAAGCCCTAATTCCCTAACATGATTGTATTTGGAAATAAAGCCTATAGGGATGAAATTAAGGTTAAATGAAGTCATAAGAGTGGGGTCCTAATCCAAAAGGATTGATGTTTTTACAAGAAGAGAGAGAGAGAGACACCAGAAAGCTCCCTCTCTCCTTGCATGCACATGGAGGAGGCCATGTGGGGCACAGCAAGCAGGCAGAGCCTAGAAGAGAAGCTTTACCAGAAACCAACCAGTCTCAAAGGACAACATATCGTATAATTCCATTCATAGGAAATAGGCAAATTATAAAGACAGAAAGTAAACTAGTGGTTGTCTAGGGTTGGTGATGGAGGATGTGATAATTTTTTGTGTCAGCTTGACTGGGCTGCAGGGTACTCAGATATTTGGTCAAACATTATTCTGGTGTTCCTATGATGGTGCTTTTGGATGACATTAACATTTAAATTGGTAGACTCAGTAAAGCAGATTGCCCTCCTTAATGTGAGTGGGCCTTATGCAATCAGTTGCAGTTAAATAGAACAAAAAGTCTGACCTCCTGAGTAAAAAAGGATTCTGCCTTTGGACTTCAACTGAAACATCAGCTCTTCTTGGGTGTTGACACTGCCTGACTTTGGGAGGAAACTACACCATCTCAGGCCTTCAGACTCAGACTGAAACTAAGCTGTTGGCTTTTCTGGGTCTCCAGATTGTGGACTCACCCTGCATATCTTGGGACTTCCCTGACTCCATAATCACCTGAGCCAATTCAATGTATATACATCTTACTGGTTCTGTTTATCTGGAGAACCCTAATACAGGGAAATTGGGGAAGTGACAGCTAAGGGGTTTATTTTCAGGGTGATAGAAGTATTCTATAATTGACTGTATTGATGGCTGCACAATTCTGTTACTGTATTACAGTTATTACAACTCTACTTACACAGTATGTGAATTATACCCCAATAAAACTCTCTTTAAAAGAAAAAGGAGTGTTTTTTTAAAGGCTTTTTTGATATTTAATACCATATACACTCTTAAATAAAGATGAAAGAGCTACAGTATGTCAGATCCTTTCAGTATTTACATTAGTGGCTTTTGTACAAAAATTTGCTGTGGGAATTGAATGTTATAATTTATTGTAAAGATCTTGGTAATGTGTACATCAGCTTTATGTTTCCTTTCGTTACTGTGTTAGAAATTTCCTTTATGTGATATTTATTGCTCTAAGTCACTATACAAATCTATATTAAAATATAAATTTAAAAAAAATAGTGGATATTATTTTTCCTTTATTTTCTCCACCCTCCTCTCCCCAGACACATGGAGGGTATCTCCAGGCCAGCCCTCCCCAGGACCAATGCGGGTTCAGTGTCCCCATGTTCTGTTCATGACACCTGAACTTCTGGTCTATGATGTCATTCTTGGTCCTCTTAATGGGGGGATGGTGTCAGGGCCAGTGCTGCGGGGTCACAACCACGAAATTCTTGGGAGGCACACACTAGGCATTCCTTCTGGAGAGGGAAGTCAGAGGCCTGCAGGTGGGGCTGGTCCCTATCTGCACGAGGCCGCTAAGCCCCTTTGGTCTGGCTGGGCGCACTGGGCCTCATCCTGCACCCAGGCAGCTAGGGCACCGCCGTCCCCAAATGGCGCAACAGTGTCGGTATGTTTCTTCCAGCTGGCCAACTGATCCCCATAAAGTCATTGCTCCTAGGCCCCAAACATGTCTCCCCGGGGGTGGGCCATCACCTGGCTCTACAGGACAGACAGGGCAGAACAGGGCAGAAGGCGGCTGGGGCAGGAAGGGGAAGAGCTGGCACGGGAGGTGGCTCGGAGGCAGGCTGCAGCACGAGGCCCTTGGAGGGGCACACTGTGGATGGAGTCACGTGGGGAGGGCACGGCATGACCCTACAGCCGTCCCAGTGTGGCATGGGCGGAGCCTCTGCCGGGATTGGCCGGCAGTTGCGTTGCGGGGAGCCGGCAGCCCCTGGGCTGAACCTGGGGGGCGGGGAGGCCCTGCGGCAGCTCCTGTACCCGGGCTTTCTCCTGCGCCAGCTGAGCAGGCCCCGCTGCCCCGTCTAGTCTCCCCCACACCCCGCCCCCGCCTCGGCCATCGCCCATCGCCCACCGGGGCCCAGGCTGGGGCTGTTGCGCCCTGACCCCCTGCCTGGGCTTCCAGTCCCGCCACACACCCAGCTGCTACCAGGCCCAGGTGCAGGCCACCCCCCCCACCACCACCACCCCGTCCTCGGGGAGGGTGGATCCTGCAGGACAATGCCTCCGCACAGTGCCTTCGGGCGTAGGCACAAAGGGCCTCACGGAGACCACTGCCAGCTGGATGACTGTAGTGCCTCAAGAACAAATTTAGTTTGAGTCATCCATCAAAGAAATTGAGAGTATAGGAACTAAAATAAGGGTCATGCCCTACATAAAGGAAAGCCAAAAGAGAGAATGAGGAACGAGGTCTTAGGAATGTGTAAAAGTTTTGACAGAAGCCGACTGGCTGCCTTTTAAACCTCCTGCTGGCTAAGTAACACCAGAACCTCAAAATAGGGCTCAGTAGAACTCAGAGATCCCGAAGGTATGGAAAGTGCAGTTCTTTCCCTTAAGGAGCTCCTGGATTGTTTGGCTAATGGTTATTCTGAGGGAGAAGGGGTGAGACAGGGGCCATGGGTATAGTCAGGGTAGGGTGAGGACCTCCGGAATAAACAAGGCAGGATATTCACAGTCACAGCAATGTAACTACATGCAAGGAAACCCCTACTAAAACTCTGTATTAATCATTCAGCTCTAGAGTCATTCTTCAGTGAGATCAGTTAATATACCCCAGATAAAGAAGAGTAGCACATGTTTTTATTATGCTAATCATTTATAATCATGTGTTAGATGCATGTTAGCACACTGAAAGGCCCAGGTCTACATGCTGTCTTTCCTCCTTCAGATCTGATGAAGTGATTTTACAAACCGGGCAACTAATTTAGCAAGTAAACCCAGGCATAAACAGCACAGTAAAAGGCAAGAGGGATTCCACCTTAAAGATAAGATTACATTTTAATACCCAAGAAGTTAAACAATACCTCAGCCCACCTTGGGGACTGGGCAGGCAGCCTTGTTTAATATGCTCCCAGACTAAGATGCTGGTATCTCAGGGAGAAAGCATCAGAGCAGGAAGTTGCTTGTGTTAATTCTAAATATTCAAGAACCACTTAATAAGTCCACACCCCTAAGCTTTTTTTCATGTTCTCAAAAATCCTCAACTAGACAACACACCACCCGGACTCTCTTGTCCCCTGCTGGCGTGAGCCGGGAGCTCTGTCCTTCCCCTTTATCTCTAAATAAAAGCCTCTACCTTGAGTGTTTGTGAAGCTCATTCTTTAGCTTCGTGAACAAGAACCCGGCATAAGGGGGACCTAAGGCCTGACCCCCTGCACGGAAACCTGACAGCCTCCCCTAACGGCCCTCCAGTTTGGCTTCTTCCCATTTCCTTTCACAAGTGTTACTCCCAAAATACATTTTGGCACTCCTGTCTCCCCTTGTGCTTCCAAAGAACCCCACCTGTAATGAGGCTGGTTCCCCAAACTGCATTATATATAGAAACCCACTCCACAGAGCCCCACACCTTTTTCTCAGGGTTCAGTTTTCAAGTCCCTGGTTGGAATTTATTGGATAAAGAATGTGTAAATCATCTCTGGTGGGCTTTGGGGAATTGGAACATTTTCAGTCCCTTAGAAAACAGGAGCTGAATGAAGACGTTTTGCCGGATCTAAGATAATACTAAACTAGGCAGAGACTGAGAAGCCAGACTTAATGTGTTTTCTCAATGACAGGGCAGCCCTTGGCATAATCCCTGCATCCTTCTCTTCCACAGCAGTTACTTCTGGAGCACTCACTACAACGGTGCTTTACAGGTAGCGTGGATACTCACTCTTAGAGGCATGCACTCCGGAGGCCAGCTTCCCTGCCTCACTCCCCGGGAAATGTAGACTGAACTTGTGCAGTAGAACAGTCAAGTTGGCTCCTGATGCTTCACTATTACACAGTTTTGATGAGAACAATCGTGAAGGTACACCTTTGTATTCATCCCTAACTGTTCTTTTGGTATTTATTAATTGGAAGAGGAAGAGCTCAGACAAACGCATTTGCCACATTACAGTCCAAACAGCTAGCACCAATTTACATTCTTTTCAGGTCTTGCATGAAAATATCCATTTCCCCACACCCTTGCCACTGTGGCAAGTATCTAAATGTTTGTACTTAATTAGATATTGTTTAGTAATTTTGAAATTTTCTATATTTTACAGAACTTTAAAGAAGTAATTTAATTCTAAAATAAGGAGGCAGTTCTTTGTAATTTCTGGGCAGCAGAAGAATTTTGGTGAGCAGCCTGGGCTGGGACTAGGGTGAGACAAGTGAGGCACTTTCATAGGTGCAAAATTTGAGGGGTGGGGTGGCTCTAAAAAACCCAGCAGTCAAAATAAATAAGAAATAATGCAATATTTTTAAAAATAAAAATTAATGCAAAAAAACTCCATGATGAACAAAGTATCAAGATTTTAAATCAAAGCTTCACACCCTGCACACCTGCATGACTGCCTCACTCCCTTTAGTCTTGGCTTTGCCCCCACAAGCAGGATTCCAACTGTTAAAAGAATCCTTTAACCAAATTTGAGTAATCTTTTTAATGCCTTCATCTGATTACATCACCATACTGTAGTTTAAGGATATACCCACATCATGGAATGAAAATCAGTTTCTGATTTTTCTACATCCCAGGAGGAGAGGGGTCAGGATATGCCAGGTGTACCCAAAAATATGAGCAGGGATTTCAAGAGTACCTCTGGTCTTTCCTTGGGTGTGAGGAATTCCTTCCAGTAGATTCTGGGCTCATGACCTCTGTGGGAGAGGCACCAGCTCTTCTTCACCATGACCTTGCCAATGCTGGAGGGCTTCCAAAAGGAGAAGGGAAGGAAGTTTGTGGTCAGCCTGAAAATGAATCCAAACCTCAGTGCTATGGCACCTCACTCACTTCCCCAGGCTCTGAGAGGTGGTTTCCACCACTCCCTAGCTCCCCCAGCTCTTCCTCACCCTCCCCATCAGGGTCCAATTCACCCCTGGGCCATCAAAAACAGTAAGGAGGTGACTCAAGTCTCTGGCTACAGCAATCATGCTACAGGCTGGATGGCTCTCCCCCACTGAGGACAGTGATAGAGCCTTCTGGTCTCTGCTGCTGTGACAGCCTTGGAGCAGCCACCCCTGACTCACAGTTAATCCAAATGCCTGCTGTTCTCACATTTGGCCACAAGCACAAAAGCCGCCATGATTCTTTTCCTGTTTAACCTGTGGGGTGGTTTTAGCTGCTCCAGAATAACCAGGCTGGTGAGACAGCCCTCCACCCCAACTAGCTTCACAGAGTGCCAGACACAGTTCCTCTTTTCCTCCTACAAAGACTGGGGGCCCCTTCTAGATCTTTCTCTAAAGAACACCGGACCCTGTGGGTGTTGTATTTAGTGAATTAAATGATGTCATGTTCTTAAATAGACACAGAATAGTGCTCTAGCTTTAATAGCTTTTTTTATTTAAGAGCTTATTTACTCACTTGTTTTATTTTTCTTATTTAATAAAGAGGAAAAGGTACTGTCCAAAAGCAGGGTAAGACTCCCATGAGGCAGATGATGAGCCATTTAAAATGATGCTAGGGAAAATTAACCAAAATATGCAGACAATGTAACAGTGAGAAAATCAACAAAACTGTCACGTACAATATAATCTCATCTCAAAAATGAATTCGAAGTGCTCAGAAGGGGGATGCTAATGTTTTCTCTCCTGATCTGGGTGCTCGATACACAAGTATTTGCACTTCGTGAAAATACTTTTACATATGTGTGCTGTCAATTGAAGGTGCAAAAATATATCTATGATGGATATGTGGCCAGGAAAAATCTGCAAAAGCTAAACAGCACGTCAAAATATTAGCAGTGGTACCTCTGGATGGCGGGGTTTTCAATGATTCTAATTTTCTTCCAGAAACTGTTCTGTCCTAAAAAAAAAAAAAGCGCGATTACAGTTTAAAAATAATTAAATTGTTGCGTTTTTCAGACTCATCAAGCCCTCTGTCTTCTGGCTGTAGGAGCTGCCCTCTCTCCCGGACACCGGAAGGGTAGGAAGAGGCCACCGTGCTCGGCACACCTGAGCCTCACCGCGGGACGGTCGCCACTTCGCGAGCAGAGGGCCGAGGGACGCCCCCCGGGATTCCCGCCCGCCCCGGGGCCGCCTCTGCGCCGCCAGCATCCCCCCCTCAGGCAGCCCGCGCGGCCCGTGTCTTCCCCGGGCGGGGGCTCCCGGCGCCGCAGTCAGACTCGGATGCTCCATAGGCGTTCGTTTCCCCAAGTTCGAGGAGCCTGATGCGCACGCTCGTGCTCTTAATTGCGGGCTTGGGTTCTAGAGCGGAAGCGCAGCCCGCTCTGGTTCTTGAGTGGCGAGGCGTACCAGTAAAATAGTCTTTAACAATCCAAAACGGTTTATTAAGTAAGACCTCGTGGCGCAATGGTAGCGCGTCTGACTCCAGATCAGAAGGTTGCGTGTTCAAGTCACGTCGGGGTCACTACTGAGAAATTTTTCTTCTAACTACTGAAGAGCGCAAGGAGCGTATTAAAAGCCAGTACAGAAGAAATTCGACTTTGTGGAAGAGCAATCATCTTCTCTATAGGACAGAGAACCATTCTTTTTTCCTTCCATCGCTAACACGGTTGTAAACGCGACTGTCAGAGGATGAGGTTTCTTCTGGCCACCGGCAGGAGGCGCGGCGCCGAGCCGCAGAGACTCCCCAAGGGAGAGGGGACTGAGCGGGCCTGCGCGCAGGCGGACGCCTGCCCGCTTCCGCTCCCGCGTGCGCCAGCAATCCTCGCCCACTTCGCCCCACCCCAGGCCCCAAGCACCCCAGGCTGTGACTCACTGCGCCTCGGGAAGTTCTCTCGCCGGGAAGCAGAGTATCCTGTGCCAAGGACGGGTTTCTTTTGCATGTCTCCTTGCCCGCCTTGTTTTTCTCTTTGCCCCAGATGTTCCCTCTGGTGGTGTTTTTCTCATCAACTGGATTATTGCATTATTAGAAACTCCAAGGATTTAGCCACAGCCATAAGGCCTGGATATTCACGTCAATATGTTTATTAATTTAAAAACAAAGCCCTATCCATCTGTAGAGAGACGTAAAGGAAATAAAAAAACAAGTTTCATAACAATTTAAAAAATATAAAAAATTTAAATAAACATGTTAATGGATTCATACTTAACGTATCCAAATGAAAAGGACGAATGGGAATTATACACAAAAACTTAACCGTGATAGTGACTACCTCTTGAGAATGAGGAAGAGGAAGAGATAGATTCAGAATCTTTTTTTCAAGTAGGCATAACCAAATCGTTAATGTTTATTAAATCTGATGAGAAGTATATGGGAGCTAGTATTATGAAACATGGCTTTCCCGTCGGAATTCACTCTACCTGCATAATCCAAACCTCCTCCCCCAAGCCAAAAAATTACTTCGTAATTTCTCACATTAGTAGGATCCACAGCACTCTGGGAGAAGTAGAGAAAGAATATACCTTTGAAATAGGCTTTTTAGTGTCCCCAAATATGAAGTCCCAGTCACAATTCGCTCATATATATTTGAAGAGAAAATCGAAAGAAGACCTTAGGAGTAAGAGCCAGACACACACAGACTTAAGATAAGGGGATCATCAGATACAGAAGCCACAGTGGATATGTTTAATCTTGTTAAAATGGAAGAGCGTACTAAAAAGTTGACCACAGAACAGGAGACAATAAAAATTGTTACCGAACCAAACTAACCTGGGTCCTCTCACCCGGTGCCTTGCAAAGCCAAACACTTGACACCGGGGCAGTGAAAGAAAAGGGGCGTTCCTGCAGGGCTCCCAGCAGGGAGGACAGGGGACTCTAGCTCAAGGTCCTCAACGCCCCGGGGGCTTACAAAAAAAAGCAAGGGTTTTTGAAGGCAGAGTCCTGGGGAAGGCCTGCAGGCCTTGTGCTCAGCTCGCGCTCATTCCCCTGACTAGTCCGCGGTGAGGTGAGCGGCTGTCAGGAGCCTCCCTGGCAGCCTTCTGGCTCCACCCAGCCAGGGGTCTGCGTGTTGTAGTCAGGAGGGGGCCCAGCTGGTGGGGTCTGAATTCCTGCAGAAAATCTCAAGGACACCCGAGGCAAGTTTATCTATGGCCTTGAGGGGAGCTAAGAGTCCTCTATCTGTTTTGTTTGCTTTACCTTGTGTGGGTAAAATTGTAACATTTCCAGAGTATCTCGCCTGGCTTTAGCGTATTTGCATAGCCTCAGGAGTGGAGAGAAGTTCATCGCCATGTCAATGGGCAACCGAGGGCGCGTCTGAACCTGAGAATTTAAGTGGAGGGGCTTGCTTGCTTGCTGGGTTGCTTCCTTCTGGAGCAGGGGGAGAAAGGGCTGTGGACTGCAGTTAAACGGGTTTTAAACTTTATTTCTCTCTTTGACTGATTTTCGTTTTTAGAGGTATTTTGCCCCAGGATTTCCTTTCCCTGGGCTTATACTTTGGTTTGCAAACTCCCACTTTCTTTAACCTCTACTTACTCAGTCTCATTCCCACATCTGGGTCATCACTGAGGGACTCTCTGATTTTTTTAAATGAGAAATCTGGGAGATTTCTCCAAAACGGAGCTCCCTGTATCGTTACAAAATGAACAGGTATGTTTTAAATAACTAAAAATTAAAATTAAAATTCTGGAAATGCAAAATTTAATGTGATATTAGAAACACAATGGATATTATTAACCAGCAGATTAGACAGAACTAAAAACAATTAATGAAACAATATTTTGGCGGTTCAAAATAAGTCCATCAATTCTTGACACTCCCTTCAAAAGGTGATGCCTAGTTCTTTTCCTCTTGAGTATGAACTCAACTTAGTGCCATTATCTATAGACTAATAGAAAAATAGAAAGTAGAAAAAAGCAGACGTTATGGCATGTGATTTTGGAGACCAGCTCATAAAAGGAATTGTGGTTTCCTGCTTCTCTGGATCACTTGGAAAAGTCAGCTGCCACATTGCAAGAACACTTATAAAGTCCTGTAGGGAGGGTCACTTGATGAAGAACAGCCTGATCAAGTTCTTCAATGACTGCAGCCCCAGCCAACATTTTGACTCCAACCTCATATGAAATCTTTAACCAGAATCAATTGGCTAAGCCACACCCAAATTTCTGACCTCCAGAAATTGGTGGGAGATAGTAAATGTTAAGGTGCTAAGCTTTGGGGATAATTTGTTATGTAGGAATGTAGATAACTAATACAAATATAGAATTTAAAAAAGTACACACAATAAAGAGACAGGGAATAGAAAATATGGGGTGTGGTGGTGGTGAGGAAATGAAGCAATATTGAGCTAGAATGAGAAAGTCTCATCTCTGTCTCAATGGAGTTCCCAAGGGAGAAAATTGAGACAATGGCAGAGAGGTAGTTATTTGAGAGTCAGTGCCTAGTAACTTTTCGGAACTGATGGAAGACGTGCCTCCTCACAAGGAGCACAATATATTACAAGCCTGGTAAGGAAAGAGAAGCCCATACCTGTATACAGCATAAAGAGACTGCAAAATATAGAAAGTGAAGTTTTTAAAGACAACCAGAGGGAAAAAAGACTGATTATCCACAAAAGAAACATAACAGGTTGTAGCTGAATTCTGAGCCACAACAATGAAAGTTAGAAAAAGTGCAGTGATAATTCCAAAGTTCTAAAAGAGAATAATCACCAACCTAGAATTTTAGACTTGGGAAATCATCTTTCAAGAATAGAGACATTTTCAAACCAAGGAAACCACTAGCATCCCTCCCTGAAGGACTATCTAAAGGAGGTACTTGAGGGAGAAGTAAAATGATCCCAGACAGAGTCTGAGGTGCAACAAGGCCTGATGAGGGAAGAACATGGTAAACTCCTGGGCATAGCTAACAAACCTTAGCCATATAGAAATGATAACAGAGTTACTGTGAAGTTAAAAAGAACAACAATACTGGACAAGAAAAACATGAAAGCCGGAGGGAACATAATTTGGGAGTAAAGCCCTTTAAGGTGGTTATAGTTCTTGATAGGAAGTATGTTTATTCACCAGAAAATACACTAATTATGTTAAAGCATAGGGTGAGCATTTAAAAGTGGTGATAATTGGTGGATTATGCAGATTTTAAAAATTAGCTTAAGACATCAAGATTTGAATAATAACACTAACAAAGTTGATCATGCACATGGGTAGAACTCTGCATACAATAATTAGAGAACAGCGTTCTTGAATTCACCCAGGATCTTATATAAAAATAGGACCAGTTTCCAGATGGTAAAATAAGTCTCAACAAATTTCTATACATAGGTATCATTCAGGTCCCTTTCTCTGACCAAATTACAATGAAACTAGAAATCACTAAGAAAAAGCTTACTGCCATCAGGATATTTAAAGATATTTCTATTTACTTCAGAGGTCAAAAACAAAACCTTAGATAAAAGAAAAAAAAAAGAGGTATAGACATTGAAAAGAAAGATAAAACTATCACTATTTGCAGATGATATGGGCACATAACTGGAAAAAAAATACTAAAGAGTCAGCTGAAAAATTAATAAAAACCAAAAGAGAAGTCAATAAGATAATGAGGTACAAAATTAATGTAAAGAAACTGATAGTTTTCATAAGACCAACCAATGACTGGTTAGAAAGAGTAAGATGAAAGAGGGCAGAGATGCGAGAAAACTGTCTCAAATACATTTTTTATGTTGCTTAGATTTTTTCCCACAATATGAATATATTATCTAGTTTAAAAAAGAAAGTTATTAGCATCAGTGAACGTTATACTCCTTGAGGATCTAGAAAGACCTTCCAAGGGACACTTGGCATGGATGGTTTTTAAGGGCAGGGTGTTGCGCAGGCAGAAGGGGCTGATGCAAATAAGAGCCTTGGGGACCGAGGTACCCAGGACATCTGAAGGGTCAGGCAGAGAACAGGTTCCAGAGCAAAATCTGACTTCAGTTTCTGAGGGCTGTGGGTGGGTGCCCTTGGCAGTGGCCCGTGTGCAGATGGGCAGACCCCTGTGTGAACCCATGTGTGCCTTCCATATGTCACATGTGTGATCCACTGTCCCCGACCCTGTCCGACTGTGACTTCTCTCATGAGTCTCACATTTGTGATGTCCCCGGGGTGTCTAACCCGGTGTGTGAGCCTCCCTCCCATGTGACTCCTCACATCAATGGGACTCTTGCATTTGGGCTTCCAACAGAGTTTAGCTGATGTAGAGAACCACCCAGGGAAGGAAGGATGTGGACATAATGAAGCCCAGCCAAGTGAGAAAAACAAAGGCCATCTGTTCTCAGCTTGCTGTCTGTGCCTGGGGAGACGGGTACCAGCACTTATGTTCTGGCAGGGACGCAAAGGCCGGTGGAGGAATGGGCAGCTTCGGTGGAACAGAGAAGGCTCAGTGTGCCCTGATGGAGGCTGTTGGCCTGGGAAACTGGCTAGAAGTAGGGTATCCAGTGTGTTTGCTTGGGGTGCTTGTTTGGTTTTCTTTGGCTGGTCCTAAGTCAGAAGCAGGGAAAAAAAAGGGAAGCTGTCGGTCATCAATCAGGTTCTGATCATTCGGGGCCAATATTAGGTCACTGGGGCACCTCCTGGAAGGGTACTGGAGACAGCAGTGCCTTCCTACAAGACTGACCTTCAGCGGGCCCCTCCCTGGCTGGGATTGTAAGTACGGGGCTGGTTTCCTCGACTGGGTGCAGGAGCTAGTGGTTCGACTTCTAGTTTTAGATGCAACCTGACCACTGGCCACTTGTATATTCAGTCTCTCACAGGGAGTTCTTTCCCCAGCTGCCTCCCAATAGGCCCGCTGCACACTGTGGCCGAGACAAAAGCTCACAGCTCCTGTCACGTGACCCTCTCCACAGGGCCCTCTCTGTACCCAGGTGCTAGAAAGCATCTTGCAGGGCAGGGCACCCCTGGAAGAACTGTCCCATGAGGCCGCTGCCCTGAGGACTCCAGATTCAAATGCCCCGGCAGCTGCTGCAGAGGACTCGGGACTGCACCCTCTCATCCTGGGCTCCAGATGGTGGGATAAGCTTGGGCATCAGAATCTGCTCTTCTGGTGGATTGAGCATAAATTCCCAAAGCTGAGGGACTGAGGGTGCACTGAGAGGGCAAACCAAGGTCTTGAGCCTGCTTGCTCGTTCCTCCCCATGCCCATCTGAACTTGATGCTGAGTACTGACGACTCCTGACTGTCAGCCCACCCCCATCTTCACCTCCAGCAGTGGCGTCAGCCCTGGGGAACACTTCCAGGCCAGGTCTGGGTGGAGGGCCCTGCCACTCATTCCCTTGAGCGGCCCTTAGGGGAGCAAACTCTAGAAGCTGAATGTCAGGAAAACAGAGTGAGGTCGGCCTACCTCATGTTCCAGGGGATACGCAAAACTGATACATGAAACGGAAGTGATGAAGAGAAACTTGGAAGTATTTGTAAGCATCCTAGGCAGATTACAGAACTAGAAGATCTCCTTTGTATAAAGCAAACAGAATGATATAAACACACTCATGCACACGGCTGCAAGGACATAGTAACGCATCAGTGGTGATTCTCTCTGGGTGGTGACATGGTGGGTTTTGTTTTGTCTTTTTGCCTGTGGTTTTCTCATTTTTCTGCAATGAACAGTAAAGAATAGAGGTAAAGGTACCAACCTGGAGTGGGAGGGCCTACATCTAAACCCCGGCTCCATCTCTGATTAGTTGTGTGACCTTAAACAATTTATTTCACTTCTCAGTGACCAACATCCTCGTCTGAAAAATAGGAACCATGTGGTTCCTGCCTAGTACGGCAAACGAGAAAATTCAGGGAAGGAATTTATGGAGTGCTTCACATAGCACCTGGCCCACAGTAAACACGATAGACACTAGTGCTGTGTATTATTACTTTTCTAACATTATTACCGTTTCCAAGGCTGGAAACTCCTCATTAGATCAATCAGTGAAGGAAGATTG